TCAGTGAAAGAAACTAAAAGTCCAGAATTGCTTCATCACTTTAGGACATATTAGTTATCCTCCGGGTACTGGTAACCTTTCTCTAGTCTTTCTAGCCACACCATATACACAAAAAGAGGTAGAGTAGAAAATTACCTTACTTTCACATTCTGTTGAATATAGGAGAGATTCTCACTTTGAGAGGACATCAGAGTCACTGTACATGTGGGTTTCCATAAGCCAGAGATCTGATTCACCCTGTATTTCAGTCACCACTAGGAAAAGCTGGTAGGTTTCAATGGAATGAAGGCAAGCCTCTTTGCAGCTGTAACTTAGAGACACAGCTGCTCAGTTAAACTTGCTAAAGCAATTAGTATAGCCTGCAGCCCCAGAATTTCACAGGAAAAGGGTGATTGATTGGGGTTTTTCAAACATCCAGTCAGGTCATTGCACACAGTTGTAAGAATACATGCCTGTGCATTACTTGCACAGTTTTTAACTGTCTCTGGATACGTGATTCCTTCTGTATCCATCTCTGCAATTCAGTCTGTAACAGAGTAATATAATTTAGGTAAAATTCTTTTAACAGTCTTGCATATATTTAGCTATTTATATATACACATATATATGTATGGTTTACTATTAATGCAGTGCTATGGATTTCTCCTTATCTACTCTTATTTCATGGGCTGCGGACTCCTGATTGACTTCTTTAGTACATTTTAATAGACATAATATGAATCACTTCCTAGTGCAATTTTTCTTCACAGAGATATTATCAGAGTTTCATTGAGAGGACTGTGGGGTTTAGAATCTGGTCTTAGTAGCTGATACTAACTTAGTAAATTTTCTGAAAGCTTACAATAAAATAGAATTTCTGGGAGAAGTATTCAAAATGTCCAGGTGCAATACAGAAATAGTGTAATCTCTCCTGTTAATCTCATTAAATGATGGAAGTGAGTTTCCCCACAGCTGGGAATTGACTGGGTCCCACAGAAAACAAAGTCTCAGCATTGAATTCATGAAGAACAAGAACAGACCCTAAATGAGGAAAACCTATACGTGTTTTTTCCTCATATGTCTCAAATTTTTTATTCCCAATTTTATACTTGTACACTAAACAAAAGCCTGTTTCACTGAAGGAGTAAGGCAGAACATTTATATTCAAACAAAATAAAGCAGAGGGATGCAGGGACAATGTGCACCTGGTCCATCCTCTTGCCCTACAAGAAATATATTCTTTTAGATGTGGGTGAAAAGAATTCTTCCTCACATTTAACCTTAGCATTTCATGTACAGCTTTTCCTATGGTTCTACATAGTAGTAGCTATGTCCTGCCCTATTAGGTATAATGCAGGACAAGCACTGAGCCCACTTTGGAGTTTCTGAGTGTTTCTGAACTCTCTAGCATAAAACAAACCAAAATCCATCTCACTGATTCCTTGATTCATTCATCTTAGTTAATCTCTAGTTAATCTCTTCATTCTTCAGATTTTCCTTAAGAAAGATGAAAACTCCTATATTTCTTCAAAGTCAATAGCCTCTAAAACCAAACTATTCATGGGAACAGTTATTCCAGCTTCCCTATATAAAATGTAGCTAGTTTTCATTATTAAAAAAAAAAATCCTAGTTTTTTAAAAATCTTTTTATAGAATCTCATTGCAGCTTACATATAGCTAGTGAAATGGTTCAAAATCCCTATGTAAATAGTTTTTTAAATTCACGCAGGTTTGAGAAGAACAAGATCAAGCCTGTGTAAGAATGATATAATATAATTATTTTATGTAAATTTTAAAATTCCATGGAACCAATAGTGTATTAAATTCTATTATATTTTTCCATAAGAGCTTAGTGTACATAATTTTTATGTTTGCACATATGATGACATACAATATTGTCCACTAGTACAAAACAGGGTATACAATGAATAAAGCAAACACGAACTCATTTTTCATATTTGATGTCTGATTCTTCCATAGGTGTCAATGGCAAGACTAATTCATTTCATCAAGGCAGAAGCAAAACCTAAGTGGCCAGTAATGTGCCCTTCAGCTTCATGTTCACTCAGTTCTGTTCACTTAACACACTTTTCCATTGCTGTGACAATTTTAAAGCATTTATTTTGTAAATGAATAGTCAGCTTTCATGCAAACAATCCATTAGCATTACTCATATGACTCTCACATGATAGATTGGCAAAAAAAGTGTTTGCAATATTTCTCTTATCCATGACAAATTTGTAGTTGGTAAGAAATGAAAAATAACAATTGAAAAAGAAGGCTAGAACAATTGATCTCTTGACACCATTTCATTTCTCTTCTGAAATATGAAAAGCCATATTCTGTTTAGCATGAATATGAAGGATGGCCTTTCTGTTGATCAAAATAAGAGCCTTTGCCTACTTTATCACTGATCCTGTTGCATAAATCAACATTTGCATTTCCTTATACATTTCTCTTAGGAAAATTCTGAAGAATCTCAACTTACTGGCGTACAAAATGTGCAACTGCATAAAATAATTGAATGAACTGAGTCACTGGCATTGACTATTATAAACTAACATTTTCCTGGTCTTATCTAAAGAAATCTAAGGTATTAAAACCTTATAACTATCAAGACATGCACCTTCACTAGAGTTTGACTAAACACTGCTATGCAGCCAGTGGAAATAACTTGCATTTAGGGCTTCTGCCTAACAGGAAGTTATGCTGAACCTGAACCAAAGCCCAGCGAATTCCGTACGAGTTTTTTCCTTCAACTTTAATTGGCACTGGGTCAAGCCCTTTGCACACAATCTCCCATTTCTTCAACATTAAAGCAATGCTTATGACTGTCAAACAACATTTTTCCCTTCAATATCTATTCAAAAGGAGATTTTTGCATAACCATCCCAGGCCTCTGCAAAATGAAAATCAGACTTGGAATTCTGTGTCAAATAATAATCTTCAGAAGCTTGTTATATTGCAGATGGAGATTTTAGCTGCCATGTTGTCCTTCTAAAAATAACATGCAGTTTTCCAGTGAGCATGCAGTCGACTAGCAATATCAGTGTGCATTTATATCGCAAGGAATCATTTGAGAAATCCATCTTTATAGGTTTCTACAATCAAATTGGAAAACCTGTTCATTTTATACATAAGGGAAAATATTTTTAAAATCTTTAAAAACATGACACATCTCAAAGTCTTTTTATGTTTCACAGTGGAAGAAAAAAAGACCACAGATGGAAGTGATAATGAATACACTATCTAAGAATTAATCGACATGTTTTTTAAGTGACAATGCTGGCAAACCACAAGAATAAAACGTTAAGGTATTTACTGTAAGCCAAGAGGAAAAGATTTATATGCATTATCTCCAAGCCAAAATACAATAAAATCCATTTTTAGGCTTGAAATAAAATACAATCAAAAGGCTGTTTGTGACTTTGAGCCCCTGTCTCCTTCTTATGTTATAAACTACCCTCAAATTTCCCAGCACCATTTTGGCCCTTTTCTTTAAAGGCCCGATGATATTTAGTTAGGAATGCACTTGTATGGTTTTTCAGTCCTGATCCAACTCCTACTGTTGCCAGTGGGATATTTTCTGTTGAATTCAGTGGGAATTAAATAAGGTCCTTAAGAAAAACTTAGTATCCTGTATTAAAATGGTTGCTGTTAACACAGATTTATTTGTGACTGCCCTGGTGGCTTACCAGTAAGTTGATGGGACATAAACAGTGTATTTCTTGAACCAGCTGTAAGGCAGAAAAGCTGAGGTTACTGTTTGGATTCCCTGATGAAAAGCTGCAATTGTTTCATTTATAGGTAAATGCATTCTGGCTATTCCCAGAGTGACCTTGGCAGCCAACTCTGTTGCCCTTCGTGTCAGCAGAAAGAAGGCTGTTGGTGTCAGTGGGCTTTGGATCAGGCTTTAAAGACAGAGAAAGCTTGCTTAAGGAGGAAAACAGACATAACGAATAGTCCTGATTTCCCAGGTTTTGTCACTTAGAGTTTAGAATACCAACAAGACAATTTAAACCCTGAAGAACCATTGTTGTAAGTCAATTATTTTGACCCTGTGTGTTTCTACAATTGTATACAATAATAAAGAAGAATCTCTCTGGCTTACAAAAAAAAAGGCAAGTATTTTATTTATCAATAGAGATTTTAGCTGCTTTTTACACCATTGCAATGACTAAACAAATAGCATAAAATAAACAAGGGAGAGTATAAAATCACTTTATTCCAGCTGGTATCCCAAGACAACCTTTTGACTAAGTACAGAGTTAGATGTTTCAAGTATGGCACTTATATGAATAAGAGCAGAGAGAAGGTGATATATTCACAGTTAAAAGCAATGAACTCTGTTCCTTTGGTATGTGTGTCATCATAGGTAATTGTAGATAAACACATAACTTGGCTGGCATGAAACAACTCCGTCTTTTTCATGCACATATTGGGGAATGAACTGAAATATACTGATATATTTTGCAGATCACAATTAACGTAAGATGATTAAGGTGTGTGGTGTGTGTGTGTGTGGACAGGCAAACAAAAAAATGGCAAAATTATATTCAGCATTTATTGTTTAGCATAACTAATTGACGCACAAACTATGATAGAAAATAGCTAGTATTACACACCAGGAATAAACTCAGTGATTTAGACAAGCAAAATAATATAAGACATCTGTGAGATAGGTGAACGCAGATATCCTGATTGAGCTGTGGTCAGGTTCCTTACAGTGCAATTACCCTCCTTTTAAAACATGCTTACATCTGCATATTGCAACAGTTTCGCCCCCCCATCCCGCCCCCCCCCCCCCAATATAGAGTATCCTTGCAGATTTTTAATACGGACATTCTACACGTTTACAACAATTAATCAGACAGTCCAAACTGTAAACTTATCCTAATGACGACCAAAAAGCCGCTCCACCGACAGATAACACCCAATCATTAGAAAGAAAAGTAGGAATAATAGTAGCTGTGCTGTAAGGCTAGATCAAGCATGGTTTTATAGCTGTTTTTTCAGTCTTTTACATAGCACTGCATTTTGCAGCTAGTTCAGTAAGTGCAGATCCAATACCTTAATGGCTTTCTTGGTGGTTTGATAAAATGCTTGCCTAAGCAATGTACCTTTCTCTAATGGCGTCTGGGTCTGTTCCACCTGGCACAGTGTTTCAGTTCTGTCACAGCCTCACACATAAGCTGAGTCACTTGACTGAGTCCTGCCAAAGTTAGGCATGCTCATTCTTGGCAGGTCCTTATTTCTGATTTCGTATATGGATTTCCTTTTTGCCTGGACTCCTCTCACTGCCATTTTGATCTTTCTCCAGCCCAGGTGGTTCAGTTCTGCCAAATTGAGCACCACACAAATCCCACTGACAGCAAACATGAATACCAAGAATACAGTCTTCTCAGTGGGTCTAGAGACATAGCACTCTACTTCTTTAATGCAAGGGTATCTGTCACATTCGTACATGGAAGGGACATTGAATCCGTACAGAAAATACTGTCCCACTAAGAATCCGATCTCTAGGGCATTTCGAAAGACCACTTGGATGATATAAAATCGAGAAATGCCTTCTTGCCTCCTCATCTTTGACTTTGTAGTTCTGATAGCAGGATTGGGGATTTCCTTCACTTCTAAGCAGTCGGGTTCTGCCTCTTTGGTGGAGTTCTCAGTGTTCTGCAGTACCCCATTGACAATCGTGTTCTTGATTTTCTTACTGTCCTCACGCTTCATTGAATCCTGGTCCCTCTCCAAGGTGAGGAAGACAGTGGAGTACCTCCGTTCCCTCTGCTTAGCAGACTGGTGAACGGAGTACGTTATGAAGCAAAGGCTGGGAGTGCACACCATGATGATCTGGAACACCCAGTACCTTATATGAGAAATGGGGAAAGCCTGGTCGTAACAAGCCTGGTTGCAGCCTGGCTGCAGCGTGTTACAGACAAACATGGTTTGCTCGTCATCGTACACCGTCTCCCCTACAATGGCCACAATGAGTATCCTGAAGATCACCACCACGGTCAGCAGGATCCTGGAACAGAGAAGCCCGTCAGTGCGCGCCGCCGCCGCGCGGCCGGGAGCTGTCCGGTGCTGACCG